ACTTACTCTAGGAGTTGGGTGGGACTGAAGCTTCTCGTACATAACTTGAGCTTCCTTTGACCTATCAACCACAACTACTGTTTAAAACCCTTGGGTATTGTGGTACGAAAAGCTAACAATAGTCAGAAACTCCCCATCTTTACTTAGGATGTGCCAAGTTCATACCCAAATGAATAATTATAACCAAATCATGGTCTATGTTATACAGGAAGGCCTTGTTTACCAATAATATGACACAGAATAAGGTAGTAATGAACGGTCAAGAAGTCATGTACCCACTCCAAATAGCTGCATTGTTTACCTCTATCTGGTAAATGATACTCTCCTTTTATTAATTTCTCTTTTCTTCTTATGCTTTTGATTCATTTCTAAACAACTACTTAATTCTCACCACTGTTAATTTGAGAACCTTGGCGGCAGTAATATTCATGGTTACTAGAGCAAAGAAATTTACAAATTTCCAAATCAAGCAAGTAAATTCCTGACAAACACCAAATTGTTAGCGTTTGAAGAATTATTACTCCCAAACAAGTTGAATAAACATAGAAATGATACATCATCATACTTCATAGAGCATTTAAACATCCAAAAATGGAAACAAGGACGAAGACACAAGAATAATTCCATACTGAGATGCAAGCTTATGATTTTGATACCAAAAATGTCTTGAAACTTTATAAAAGCTGACCGAAAATACAAAATTTTCAACTTTTATAGAAAGAACTTAATGCGTAGTAAACTCTCCCATGAGATGATTAGACAGAGCAACTTCTCAAAATAGAAATATACCTGCTGAGGGAGTCTAGACAAATGGACCATTGTAAAGCAGCCAACCCATGAAGCTCACTCTGTGAAAACAATTTTTGCATGAAAAATGCACTGATATAAGGAACAATCAGTTATTCATTGTCCAGAAACAACGAAAGGAAAGAGAAAATTGGAGAAAGGGGTGGGATGGGTATAAAAATGTGTACGCATACTGCCAAAGTTTTATGGAAGTGATGAAAACTGATTTATTATCCTTGATTATTAACTGCATCAATGGCTAAAAGTTAGCGATTTTGGATAGAAGATTTAGGATCATTGTTGGTTGTTATGAAGGAACGTGGTTTTTTTAACGCAAGTAGCGTATCATTTATGCATGGTACAAAATACTCATTGTCCAAATATGTTTGCAGCAAAATTATTAATTTATTTTTTATATATGCAATCAGCTCAGATAATTTACAGCAGCATTACCTTAAATGGTAACTTATCCATAACCTTCTGATAATAGATTAATGCTTCCTTAAGCTCTCCAACATTCATCAATGAGTCGCCATCCTTTAACGCCTGCATGTAAAATTATTAATTTGAGGAAATGACAATGTAGTATTGGATTCATTAATATGAGATGAATTAAAGATTGTGAAGAGCAAGATGTCAATATTTGGCATAAATGAACAGTTTTGGACCAACTTGGGACCTTGGGTGGTCAATAATGGGATGTATGCAGCTGCACTAGCCCAAGAGTCTGTTTTGTTTCTAATGGAAAACCTATAAGTCATAAATTCTTAATGTATTCTACTACTAAGGTGTCCATAAATCACGGAATCCTAAGATCATTAGAAGAATGTATGTACAGGCTTGGAATCAACTAATCATTTATTATTTCACAGAAATTTAATGATAGATATATCCCTTAATTTCCTACATCGGTCAGTACCAATTGAAATCTGGAGGTATTTGAACCTGAAACCCAGTATCTATGCTCCTTTTATAGAGACTAGAGAGCCATCACTTTATTTTTTATTCTTTACAAATAGTTTTACTGGACTCATGAACAATTCCAACATCTAGTTTAGTTCAGCTCTAGACCAGTGGCATTACATACAACACCAAACCTATCATCACTAGAATGGGACTTTTAACTTAATTCTAAACCCACTTCTAACACCCAGAGGGTATGTTTGGATGAGGGTTTTACAAGACCATTGATGTCAAGCTATGAAGAAATGGAAATATATACATGTAGAAAAGGAAATATATCAATAGAAGCAAACCTTCTCGCATTCAGCTCTTAGCTTTGGATCAATGTTCAACCCCATTGTACTCTTGTAAGCAGCTACTAATTGTCTTGTGCGTGCTTCTTTAGCTGCTTTTTCTTCAGCTGTTTCCAGCACTTGCCCTGGGCGTATAACTCTTCCACCTCCAAACTGAACAGAGAAGAAAACCCTATTAGAGAAAGTATATTCTCAAGCTGATCCCCCAAATACTGAAATACAGTAACAGCAGCTGTATCACTACTACAGTAAAAGCATCTCCAATGGGATATGCAAAATGCCTTGAAATGGACACTTCACATCATTTCTTTGCTGCAAAATTCTCCAATGGAGGAATGTAAATTATCCATCTTCGACAGAAGATGTAAATAAAAACATAAATTTACATTCTTTTTTACATCTTTTGGTGATGGGTCCTACTAATCAAAGAGAGAAAATTACATGGGACCTCAAATTTACATCTCACCCATTGAAGTAGAACCTTCATTTACATCTGCCGGAAATACGGTTTTTGCATCTCAAATTTGCATTTTCCCATTGGAGATGCCCTAATACTTCCAATTTGAAAACTACACTATAAATGGACATCTCACCGTGCAGAAGTTTATCATAGTGAATGCATTGACGGTGATAGCATTTAAAAATGCAGAGTTTCAGGAAAGAAACCATTTGGCTTGGTTCAAATAAATAATTTCAATTCATGGTCAAATTAATACCAAAAAATCCTCCAAAATCATATAATCGAAAAACCTAACAACAAGCACCCAGCATGTGGCAGTGGAGACCAAATTAAGCCCCAAAAAACAACTATACATACAAGAAATGCCATATGCCAACAATGTATCAAGCAGACTTGTGTAACACCATTTCTGAGATCAACTGTCATATACCGTTTTGGAAATGTCGTTCGGTCTAGGAAATACTCCCCACGAAGAAACTTTTGGCTTGTACAGGTCTGGATTATCTCCTTGAGTCTGCTCTGTCTGCCGTGGCCCTGCATCGAAATTTCTAGTGTCCCCCACTATAAACTCGACATCAGGAGAGCCCCCTTCTGGAATATAGTCCGATATTGGAACTAACCCAGCGGGCAGTCCTCTGCCCTCCTTCTTATCCGCAAAGCCGAGTCCCACAAAATCAATGCTTGAAACTGACAATTTCGCCTTCTTTTCCACTACCTCTTTCCCCGAATTTCCACCAGCACTTGTCTTCAAACCTAAAAAACAATTCAAACACTAATTCTTACCCCACCTTATAAACTGCATATGTCATTCTTCAGCAGAACCTTCAATGGCATTTCATATTTGGTACCGCCTTCGAAAACTCCAGCGGATTGCTCAGAAAAAAGACAGAAAAGCAAAAAACTTGAAATTTGAAAAGATTACCTGAAATTGTGCCTTTGTTCTCCCCAGCATTGATGTCACCACCACCCACAGTGCCTTTACTCTTCTTATACTCTTTAGCTTTCTCCATTGCAATCTTAACCGAAGCAGGCAGTTCTTTCGCCCCACCATCCGAACCCGAACTCCCACCATTTCCAGCAATTCCACCACTATCCTCAGCAGGGTTTTTCTCAATTTTCAAATTCTTGTTCATCTGCACCGACTTCTTGTACGCCTTGGCGTTCGCCAATGCGAGCTTGACAGGGTCGACGGGACCCGGCTCGGCTTCAGGCGTCGTTTCGGGTGAATTTGGCGAGGTGGGTTGTGAAGATTCAGCGTTGGGTGGGTTCAGGGAGAAGGAGAGTTTGAATGGTTTTGAAGGGTGGGGTTTGTTAGGGTTTATGGAGAGGAAGAGAGTGGGTTTGGTGGAAGGGATGGTGCTGAGGGAAGAGAAGAATGAAGGTTGAAGGGAAGCCATGGAGGATATTTTCTCAAGTTTCTGAGGTTGGAATGGTTAAGTGGCCATGGAGGACAAAGAGAAAGAGGTTCTGGTTTTTCAGTTATAATATCTTAACATTATGTTTAGCGAAAGAAATTTAAGATTATTAATAAATTTTAAAATGACGGAAATCAAAATAATAAAATTTTATTCTATAAAATTTGTGAATTTTTTTGTTCGATTAAAATAAAAGAACAATGGAATTGAATATGTAATTTATTGTTTTTAAACTTTTAATCGTAGAACTTAGGAAATGACACCTATTTACATGGAATTTAAACTTAGGAATTGAAGGTCTCGAATTCCAAGTTTTTTTTTTCTACGCGAAGATTCTAAATTTCTATGTTTATGAATCCAAACAAGGAAATTTGTGCATGTCAATTTATAAATTCTGACTTTAATTCAAATTTCAAGTTTATTTTCATCATCCAAACATAGTGTAAGGGTTTCTATAATCCACGTGACACCGATTAGAGTTGTGGGCTCAGGTCCTTTCCTCATAATCCATCTAATCTGGGATCCAAGCGTTGAAATTTGATTCAACCGCTACAGTTATTATCATTTTTAAAATGACCCCTGAGTTTGTAGCTGTTGAATCAAATTTCAACGATTCGAATCTTGAATTAGGTGGAAAGAGATCCGGATCCTCTCTGTGGGCTCAACTTATGCACCACGTTTGACAGAAGTTATGGCGAAATTAATGTGCCGATACGAGTTTTGACAAAATTAAACAACAAAGACGACATGATACGTGAAGCACAACGCGAAGGACCGTATTGATCATCATATATTAACATAAATTATTGAAATAAGGACTTTTGAAATATTAAGACTATTTGGGGTAAAAACAAAATAATAATATTACAAAATTAACACAATCGCTTACACACTCAAAAATTATATTTGGAATCCATTTATATTAGTGAGTGTATCAGTTAACGGCAATTTTGTACATCCAAATGTCGTTGCTAATGTTCAAATTAATGATTAATTACATGGTTGCTTAAAAGAATTATATGTTGCCCTCAATATGTAGAACCATGCCTTACGATACCAATTCAATTTCAATAGCACGATGGACGATTCAACTTTAGTTTACACTAGCAAAAATGCCCGCGCGTTGCTGCGGGACTTGAATGCACCAGCCTTAACCACATGAATAAGACAGTGAACCTGAAAAAAGAATTCAACATAATCATGAATGAACAAAAGGGATAAATGAGTGAAGGGTGTCGGTAAGATGAGCAGTTCGGCTTTTATATACATTCAACCGAGCTGATTACAAAAGATACAGTTGCAAAAAAATGCTCTGTTTCCTGAGAAACAGAAGCAACATGCATTTAACACTTATATCGCCCTTCAAGTTAAGATGGCAAAATATATGACCTGCAGGTAAGGCACGTGGTTTAACAGCTAAACAAAAAAGCAAAAAAAGAGAGATTAAGGCATTTAAATAATTAGACGAAGTAGATGGAGATTAGTAAAAAGTTGGGGAGGGAAGTGATAATCTCTACAGTGGCGTTGGGCTGGCAGCCAGCCTCAGAAGTACCCCAAGAGGAAACAAATCAAACACACTGCATTAGCAATTTGATTTACGAAGCAGAATGACATATAATTCATATACTATTAAATCATTATACCGTGAGTTATTTACTACTGGTTCTCCGCAATTAAACTTTTATATGCAACTTCAGAATATATTGACCCAAAAAATCCCCACGAACCCCAAACAAAACAACTAAACATGCCAATCCTAAGAACACAAACCATATCAAACAGTTAACCACACACATAAACACAATTGTGTCTACACAGTGGCCCTTAATTAATTTATAATACGCATGAGTAAACCCTAAAAAACAAAAATCAAAGTTACAAACTTTGAGTACAAATCAATCCAGCATGAATTTATACCACACATTCTGGCATAAAAGAAAAGAAAAATCACAACTAATATTTGAAATTAAATTCATGAAAAGCACACAAATTCAGTGAGAAGAGAATGAGAGAGAGAGAGAGAGATTACTCGGATAGTTCTTTTAAGCAAGGGACGCGTGACTGCATAGCACTCTTAATCTGGGACTGGATATCGTGCGCCTCCTTCAGAGGGCTCTCGCTATCTTGCGCATCCTCCACCATTACCATGAACTCCCTCTCTCTGTCTCACTCCCCCTCCCTAAATCAGAGACTCTTTGTCAGCAAATCCCATAGATTTAGAAATCTAACCCCGAAAACTGTTATCCAGAACCTTCATGAATCACTTCCACAGAACACACTGATCATAGTACTTTATTGATCAATTATACCAGTGCATTCATCAAATAAGCATTTCCAAAATACAGACTTAGCAGATAAACATAACCTAAGGCACAAATTCACACGGATAGAGAAAATCAAGTTGCACAACCTACGAAAACAAAGTGGCAACTAAGAGATTGTTTGAGGGATTTGAGACTGAGCTTCTTCCATAAACAACATACCTACAACTCCCCAAGTTTTCAAATGGAAATTAAACATTTAAATAGTTTATAGTAAAATCTAAACACAGAGTCATAGATTAACGAACTGAAAACCCAAAAAAAATAAAGGAAACGGACCTTACTTAAGAACAATACACAGAACAGAGAGATGCATCCACAAAATGAGAGAAAACGAAACAAATAAAGGAACTCCCAAAACCAAATAAAGGAACCCTCAAAACCTGACCTAACAGTGCAACAAAATCCGGAAATAATTCACAGCAAAAGGCAGAAAGGATGACAATCTATGCTAACAGTAAAGAATCGAATTAAAAATTGAACTTAGTTTTCGAAATCCAGCCACTCATTTGACATGCAAAAGGGAACGGACGATCGAGAATGAATCATAGATTGAGGGACCTTACTCGACCCATCATTGGAGCTACTTTTGTAGCTTTTGGGAGAATAAAATTGAATGTGAAAGCTGCTTTTGATGTGGCCATTAAGGTGGTGCTTCAGCCACCGAAGCAAAAGAAGAAGCGGAAGAAAAATGTGAGTATTCCATTAAGAAAAAAAAAAGAGTAAAAAAATCACTAAAAAGAAAAGGCAGAAAAATGCAGGGTATTCCATGAAGAAAAATTCAACAATTAAATAATATAGTTGTAAACCTTAGACTCCAATCAGGTCAAGTGTGAGATTTCAAACACAGATTTACTTCATGTTTAAAAACTGCTAAATACATTGCTAACTGTTAAGAGCATGAACTACAAATCTGTAAAGTAAAAAGCCTTGCAGATAAGTTTAAACGATCAACTGTCAACTTATTATTGTTGCTGGTTTTGAGTTGGACGTTCGCATTCTAACATGGTATTAAAAGAGATTATAAGTGTGTGCGCTCTTAAATCAGCCAACAGCATGTATTAATCAAATAATTTATATCTAAAGATTGAGACATACAACACGAAACCTGCAATTAGATCCCAATCACAAAATGTAATAAAAAAATTCCTAATCTAATCCATATACTAACAACCTATTCAAGCAGCTATTAGCACAATTTACCTCCCTCTCTATTCTTCCCCACCCCCTCTTTAACCAAAAAAAAATTCATTTGTCTCACTAAATAAAAACCTCAAATTTGTTTTTTCAAAGCTGCAACAACATCACTAAAAGCACCATGTAATAAAATTTTAAAAAAACCAATCCAATTTAAGTCGAGAAGCAAATGACCAAACTTTCTTAATTTCTTCTTAAGCTATAACAATACACCACATCCACAACCACAAAAAACCAAAAATAGGTTCAATTTAAATTTATTTTTCTACCAAAAATGAAAAATCCTGTGTTTATAGCCATGTCATCAACAATACCACCACATCTTAAATAAATGAATGACAATATACTGACTGATGCTTAACTAAGAAACCCAAGCTTGAACACAAACCAAGACATAAGATACTCACCAAACTTTTTAAATGGCTCAATTGTTTGCTTAACATGACAACTTTTTCCTGCAATTCGTAAATAAGATCATTAGATGTAGTAAATAAAAATTATAAAAGCAAAATTCTCACCTCAGGTATGCAACAGAGGTTACCAAGCATAATATTCTTTTCATTAAATTTAAGTAACAATATGTCAAATTCATAGATTTCACCTCAAGGGCAATGTTACTTGAGTACAAAGAGCTTCGAAGCCTGCAAATAAAAGCCCCAAAATCTGAAGAAAAAAAAAAACAGAGACTCCACAAAAGCAAGGATTTTAAAACGCCACAATATTTAACAACTACCATGCACAGTTTTTTAAAAATGAGTATAAGACTAACCTTTACAGAGCACCTATGAATCACTTCCAAAATGAGCACAAAATGTGAAACAGCACCTATCCAAAGTTAAAAATCAAAACTAATTAAATCACAATTAGGCAAGAACAACAAAATGCGACAAACAAAATGAAAACACCAAAATGCCTAATTTCCCCCAATCGTCATGTTCAACAACATTCCATCTAATTTTCGGTCCATACGTGCATGCCAATAATTTATTAGCTTACTAAAATGTGACAATTTTTAACAAAACGTTATACGACATTTAGTTAAAGTGGCCATTTATAAAAGTTTTGGTCTAAAGTTTAGTCACTGGGAAATTATAGGTAATGCGCTACATGTTCAAGGGTGAAAACTGGCAGAATAGCCTAAAAAGATAAGTTGAAACAGTATATTAGCAGTTTTGAGAACAATAATAAGGGCAACACAAACCTTGATTGACATCAAACAACAACCTCCTACTTTGAGGAAATATTTTGCATTCAAACCTAAAATCCTTGCCTGCAAAGAAGGATTAAATAGCAAAGCGGACTTTTGGGGGAAATAAAAAAAACAGACTATTTATAATACAATAAAAATAAAGTAATTCATCCTCCCCACCATCTCTGTGAGCTTTAACAGAACAGAGGAATCAAATTAAGCAATATATAAATTTAAGTTGACATTCCAGTGTTCTACCTCTAACCTTGGAAGCATGCATGCACTGTAAGTTATAAAGTGAATTAAGCCAAGATCTTCTAACTTCATGATTTTCACATATGCATTAGATGGAGAAATACAATAAACAATCAAATATGTAAGACTCTGAGATTCAAAACCAAAACAAACCCAATTACACTTTTAGGTCACTAACCCCATTGAATAAAATCCAATTCAATAAAATAACAGAAAATTAAACAACCCAAAAATCAAAACAACCCCACTCGTAGTTTTAGCTCACTAATCCGTTGGATAAATAGATGCCAAATTCAAACATACAATTAACAACAACCCAGAAGAGCCATCCAAAAACCCAACCAATTAACCAAAAAATACCACTTGTTCTTTTAGCTTAGTAACCAACCTCTACTTGTTTTCTGGCAAATTTGGGGTCCTTTGATTTCTAGACTTTGAGTAGAAACTGATTATACCATGGGCTAATATTCAAGTACCACCAAATATAATTTTACCGTAGTAAGCTTTTTTATTCACTCCAAACGAAGATATTATATGTTCACATATATATATTCACAACCATAAGAAAGAAGAAACTAATCTCTGGCGTTTTAACAAAAATAAAAAAAATTATTCACCCACAGTAAAAACTGAAACAGCTAAATTAAACCCAAAAATTAATCATGATCATACATATGTATTCCTGACAAATGTTTAGCCCTTTAATTAAAACACTAAAATAAAAAATTGCTCACCTACAGTAAAAAACCCAAACATGCAAACCAAAGGCCAAAATTTAATCATCACTATTACTTTTCTTTTTTTTTAAGTTTCAGGGAAAAATCGAAGCACAAACAATCAAAAAACCCAAACAAAAAGAAATTAACACCAAAGAGATAAATTATATACCTGACCCAGAAAAAGCTTGGAAGCTCACATAATGAAACCCTAAAACTCGAAGAAGGATGCTTCCTGCAAACAAAATACAAAATCAGACTCTCTCTCTTAGAAAGAGAGAAGTTATCAAGTCCTGTACTTGGTCATATTTGTTCAAGTTGGGGAAAATCGAGTAAGGGTTGGTACCTGGAGCTTGAGAAATCAAAGAGCTTGCCTGTTTGAGAAAAGATGATAACAGCAGCTTCAGATTCACACAGAAAACGCAAACGCACAGCATGCTCTCTGCCCTCTCTCTCTCTCTCTCCCTGTCCATCCGTCCCTCAAAAAGTGGGAAAAAAATCCCTAAACATCTCTCCCACTCATGAAATTGAGGATCTGCAGCAATGGCGCTGAGATCCCCACTTTTCCCTCTCGCTCTCTCTCTCGTTCTCTCTCTCTCTCTCTCTCTCTCTCTCTCTCTCTCGGAGGCATGGCCTCCCATCCCCGAAACCCTCATTGAATGACAGCAAACCTAAACCCACCCCAATCCGTCTCAAACGCACATGACAAAATTGCCCTTCCAACCGAGGCCCAATATCAGCCCAAACCTGATGGCTTTGTTGTAAATAGCGTGAAATCGAGTGGCTCCCTGATAAGCCATATGGACAAAATTACCCTCTGAAATTTTGAGAATTACCCTCCCAACCCATGCAATTCGGCCAGTATTGTTGTAAATAGCGTGAAATCAAGTGGCAAAGGTTTCACTGTAGATAAGCTACAGTCACATCCCTCCTCAATTTTAGAATAGATAATATTGAAGTTTTATATATTTATTTCATGACTAAAATTGTTACAAGTTGCAGCATATAAGGAAGAAGAAACGTGAAGAAGAGAGCAGGGAAGATGGCAGCTAAGCCAACATCATGATGACATGCAATCCCTCTAAAACTTAATCTAATATCCTGCTTTTGCTTTACAGCATGAAGAGCCGAAAGCAAAGAATAAAAAACAGTAAGTGAGGGGGGAACCGAAAGTAACAACACCACTAGACAAAAACTTTCTAATATTTTAACCCTACTTTCAATGATGACTGATGACATCCAATACTCCCCCTCAAGCTGGATCCAGTAGGTTGATGGATCCAAGCTTGGAGATGAGCCTTTGAAACTGATGGGAAGCCAGAGGTTTAGTGAATATATCAGCCAGCTGATCGAAGCTTTTTACGTAATGCGTCTGAATCATCTGCGACTGTACTTGTTCACGGATATAGTGACAGTCGACTTCAATATGCTTCGTCCTCTCGTGAAAGACGGGGTTTGATGCTATGTGCATGGCAGCCTGGTTGTCACAAAATAATGTCATTGGTTGAGCTGTGAACACTCCTAAGTCACATAAAAGTCCTTTTAGCCATATCAGCTCACACGCGGTTGAGGCCATTGCACGATATTCAGCTTCAGCACTTGATCTTGCGATGACAGTTTGTTTCTTGCTCTTCCACGTGACCAAGTTTCCACCAACAAAGGTACAGTAACCCGTGGTGGACTTGCGATCGATTGCGTTTCCTGCCCAATCAGCATCACAGTACCCCATGATTTGAGTGTTGTCATTCTTTGCCATGAGGATGCCACGACCAACAGACCCTTTTAAGTAACGTAAGATCCTTTTGACAAGGTTCAGATGCTCGATGGTGGGAGAGTGCATGAACTGACTGGCGATACTTACTGAATGTGAGATGTCTGGTCTAGTGATCGTTAGGTAGATCAGTTTGCCGACAAGCCTCTGATATAAGCTGATATCTGAGAGTGACGTGCCTCCCAAGTCAAGCTTGAGCTTGCTATCAAGAGGGGTAAGTGCAGGCTTAGCATCACTCATATTAGCATCTTTAAGTAGGTCCATGACGTATTTTCGTTGATTAAGAAATAGTCCCTTGTAAGAAGATGCCATTTCGATTCCAAGGAAATACTTCAACACCCCAAGATCTTTGACTGCAAATTTTTGTTGAAGTGACTGTTTGAGTGTGGTGATTTCAGCAGCATTATCACCTGTAATTATTAAGTCATCCACATATATTAACACAACTAATTTGCTCGCAGCTCTTGTGCGAACAAATAATGATGAAATCTGCATTACTCCTTTTGAAACCAATGCTATGAAGAACGGTACTTAGTTTTGCATACCAAGCACGTGGCGATTGCTTCAATCCATAAATTGACTTATGTAACTTACACACCAAATTAGGCTCTTGGCTTTTGAGGGTGTCCTGGTGGCAATCTCATATAGACTTCTTCTTCAAGATCACCATGTAGAAAGGCGTTCTTCACGTCCATTTGGTACATAGACCAACCTTTATTGACCGCAACAGACAATAGAACCCTTACTGAGTTCATTTTTTGCAACAGGAGCAAATGTTTCCTTGTAATCCACCTCAAATGTTTGAGTGAATCCTCGAGCCACCAGCCTGGCTTTATGCCTCTCAATCGAACCATCAGAATTAAACTTGATCTTATAGATCCACTTGCAGCCCACTGCCTTTTTTCCTTGTGGAAGTTTGGTGATGTTCCAGGTTTTGTGTTGGTCTAGTGCTTTTGAGTTCATCTCTCATTGCTTCTTTCCACACAACTTGGTTATTAGCCTCATAAAAGTTTTGAGGCTCACTGTGACTTGAAATATTGTTAAGAAAGGCAGCATGAGATAGAGTTACCTTTTGATACGACACGCAATTTGAAATTGGATGCCTCGGTTTATATGTGACAAAATCTTGAAACCTTGTGGGAGGTTGTCTATCACGCCGAGGATTGCGTCGAGGTTCTAGGAGGTTTATCTCATCCTCGTTCAAATTTTCATCCACACCTTGAGGATTTTCTTGGTTGCCGTTGTCATCATCATGCACAGAACTATCAGGATGAGTACCTTCATTATTGACTTCAATGAGAGGTGTAGAAGATTCATCAATGTGGTCATGGTTAGCACCTCTGTCATTTAAAACATCTTGAGTACAGATTCTTGGTAGAGGAATTAGGTCTAAGATGCACTCCCCCTGACTTGTGGCTTCATGTGATTTGCTGAAAAAAAGGGTTAGCTTCATGAAATCGAACATCTTTAGATACAATTATTTTTCTTAGTTGAGGATCATAGCACTTATATCCTTTTTGTGTTGATGAATAACCAAGAAAAAAATACATTTGAGAGCTCTAGGGTCCAATTTATCTCGATGGTGTGACTGTATATGAACAAAACAGACACAACCAAAGACTCTAAGATGTGAAAGGTCGATTTTTCTTCCTTTCATGACTTCAAGTGGAGATTTAAACCCCAAGACTCGGCTAGGAAGTCTATTGATGATGTACACAGCCGCCATGACTCCTTGTGACCAAAATCTCTTTGGTACGTTCATTTGTAACATTAATGCTCTCGTTTTTTCCAGTATGTCACGATTTTTTCTTTCAGCTACACCATTTTGTTGAGGTGTGCCGACACAACTTGTTTGATGCATGATACCGTGCTTGCTCAAATATAATGACATGATATGGGACATATATTCGGTGCCATTGTCAGATCTTAAGGTTTGAATTTGAGAGGAAAAATGATTCTTAACAAGATTGTGAAAATCCTTAAAAACTTCAATCACTTCACTCTTAGACTTTAAAAGGTATAACCAGGTGGCTCTAGAGAAATCATCAACAAACGTTACATAATACTTATAACCATCAAAAGATTCAAACGTTGGTCCCCATACATCTGAGTGAACTAGTTCGAAAACTTTACTAGTCCTAGATAAGGATGAGGTAAAAGGTAATCTGGTGGCTTTAGACAAATGACATGTTTCACACAAAATTAAATCATTTCCTAAGTTTGGAAACAAGGATGACAAAACAGGTTGGGCAGGATGAGCTAAACGTTGATGCCACAATTGACTATCTTGGGATGGACTGGACTTGGCTTTGAAATCCTCTGGGACTGCTTTTTGATATGTAATAGAGGCCATCAAGGTAAAACCCTTCACCAATCGTCTTCTTGGTGAGGCAATCCTGAAAAATGACATTGTGAGGGGAGAAAATGGCTAAACAATTTAAGGTATTAGTGATTTTTCCCACAGATAGAAGTTGAAATGGAAAAGAAGGAACAAATAAGGCTACTGACTCAATTTTGTCCGACATTAAGTTGATATTTCCCTTCCCTAAAACCTTAGAACTCTTACCATTGGCAGTTGAGACTTGAGAAGGTTTTGAAAAATTTTCAAACTTGTGAAACTTAGAAACATGGTTGGTCATATGATCTGTGGCACCCGAATCAACAATCCACAAATCATGCATCATATTTACATTAAGAGCAGTTTTGAAAGCAGTCATGATACCTTGCATGTCATCTCGGGTCATGTGTTGTGTGTCTGTCAGAAATCCAGCGAACTTGCCTAGCAAAGCTATTGAATTTCCATCTTCAAAGCCAACCTCTTTCTTGTTTTGAAGATACACTGCAAACTCATTTATGAGTGCAGCTGGATTTGCAGTGAAATTCTTGAGTGCATCAGAACCATGAGATGTTGAGGCAGTTGCATTGTTGGCTCTGTGTGGTGCACGGTTCAGTCTTTGTGAGCCCTTGTTATCCTTCATGAACTCTGGCTTTAATTCTGGATGTAAAATCCAGCATGTCTCCTTAACGTGACCAGTATAGTTGCAGTGTTGACACTTTAAGTGTGGATTCTTCACTTTGTATTTTCTTTCGTTGGCTAGATAAGCCCTTGCTTCAGTTACACACCGGTCTTTGTGCCAATGTTCATGACTTTCCTTCGTACTTCTTCACGTTGGATTGTTGCACATACGCTGGTGAAGGAAGGTAGATCGGGGTTCATGAGTATGTGGCTTCGTAGGTCTTCGTATCCTGAATCGAGGCTTGACAAGAGTTGGAATATCTTGTCTTCTTCTGCCCTTTTTAGTAGCAAAGACGCCTCAGTTGTATGAGGCCGATACATTTCCAGCTCATTCCACATGCTCTTCATGCTGCCCAGAAGTTGAACAAAGGGCTTTCCTTCTTGTTGTAGGTTGGAAATGTCCTTCTTCAATTGAAACACACGTGCAGCATTGTTCTGGCTGCCATACATCTCCTTGACTGTCTCCCATAGCTTGAATGATGATTCAGAATAACTGAATATTTCAGCTAGTTTACGTTCCATGGAATTTAGGAGCCATGACATAACTAGCTGATCCTTGCAAAGCCAGATTTCATAAGTTGGTGAGGAAACATCTGGGACTTCGATGCTTCCATTTATGAACCCTAGCTTGGATCTTCCACCTAGGGCAAGACTCACTGCTCTCGACCAAGGTAAGTAATTAAACTCATTTAACAAGACCGAGCTTAATCTTTGATTTGGATTTACATCCACCTCAGACACGGTTGAGGAGGAAGGCTGGGGATTTTCATCTCCAAACGAATAAGAATGTTCTTCCGCCATGTCGGAGATGGAATACGATCAGCTAGAAGAAAATGCAGAAGCAGGTTATTTTTCCTGCTCTGATACCATATTGAAGTTTTATATATTTATTTCATGACTAAAATTGTTACAAGTTGCAGCATATAAGGAAGAAGAAACGTGAAGAAGAGAGCAGGGAAGATGGCAGCTAAGCCAGCAGCAACATAATCTGACATGCAATCCCTCTAAAACTTAATCTAATATGCCTGCTTTTGCAAAAAGCATAAGCCATGAAAGCAAAGTAATGAAAAAAACTGAAGCTTAAGTTGCTTTACAGCACAAAAAACAAAGACAAAAAAAACTTTCGATGAGGGGGGAAAGTAACAACACCACTAGACAAAAACTTTCTAATATTTTAACCCTACTTTCAATGATGACTGATGACATCCAATATTACAGATAAGAGTAAAAGATGATAACGGATTAGGTGAGTCGAACTACACATAAGGCTTGATCGTCGTACTACAATAGTAGTCTTACTCTTTAAACCCACACAATGCGGTTAGAAACAACCAAGATCCAAAGATGAGACATCAACTACAAAGTAGACTACTTTCTGCCCACTCAAAGCGATTAGAAAAGGCAAAGTCCCCAATAGAACGACCCCATTCCCTATCTCTGAAATCGATTAAATAATGAAAAGCAATAATTGATTAACTTCTAAATGTTCAGAATGAAAGTATATATGTTTTTCCAGATTCCGGCAATCTGGATCCATGTCCAATCTTTTCCAATCTTCTTATTCACCAAATACAACTGAAAGTCCCGGCAGGCCAAGAATGACGAAAGGGAAATGATTTCCGCGCTCCTTTTTTCTTCCCTTGCACTCCTTATTTATTTTTCTCCCAGCCACTTGATTGAATAATCAAAGGGGTGTCAATGGACAAAAACAAAAGAAGCGCATGGGAGGAAATGGAAGTGCGGAAATCATTTTCCATGACAAATGCTCCAAAGATGCTAGTGGTAATAAAGCATCAACCCAGTCAACTCTACTCATCATCTAAAGACTCTCAATGAGTGATTCACAGCAGTGAAGCCCCCATCAAGCATGAGATTATCGCCACTTATATACTTGGACTCATCACTTGCCAAGAACAGCACAGCATTGGCTACATCATCAACTGTCAATTCCACTCCTTGCAAGTTGGCGTTATTCGCTACAAAAGTACGGAAACCTGTCCAGGCATCTTCTGTTCTTTCTTCCTCGGGCAAGTGAGCCAATGCCAAATTCGTCGCAACTGCATAAGGAGAAACGCAGTTAACGCGTATCCCATGATTCCCAAGCTCAGCTGCAACGTTTTTGGTAAGCCCCAATACAGCATGCTTGGACCCTGTGTATGCATGTGGTCCAAGGCCTGCCACAGCACTTGCAACACTGGAAAGAGAAACTATACTGCCCTTTTTCCGGGGGATCATTGCCCTGGCTGCGTGCTTCATTCCGAGGAAGACTCCCTTTACATTAATATCAAACACCTTCTGAAACTCAGATAAGTCCGCATCACGGATGTCGGGACAAGGTGAACCTGACACCCCAGCATTGTTGACCATGATATCCAGTGAGCCATATTTATTGACCGTGAAATCAACTGCACGGCTAATATCATCCTCCACCGTGACATCACAATGGAGATAGCAAATGTTTGGATCCCCGTGGAGGGATTCACACACTTGCAAGCCCAGGTTGTCCTGCACATCGACTAAACAAACTTTTGCACCGTGTTTGTGGAACAGGCGCACAATGCTTTCTCCAATACCAATGGCTCCGCCGGTCACCAATGCCACTTTCCCTACTAACCTGAGGAGAAGGGAAAAAACCGAGCATCCATAAGGGAAACAGGAATTAAAACACGCACTTCTCTAGAACGTTTCACAATTCCACGCTACAAGAGCACACGCACAAGATCATTTCGGAGATGACAATCAAGTAATCTACTGTTTGATTTCGTAACACCAATTTGGATTTATTGAGAAAAAAAATAGTCCGAATGGGCAAGTCACTTTTAAGACATCCATGAAAAGTGGCAACAACACATCTAATTTTGAGATTCAAATGAATAAAGATTCCGATATTTTTTTTCTTCGTCAAACTATAGATTTGTTAGATTAGAGAGCCGACAGGTTCGAACTCACGCTGTGGCGCAAGGGCAACTCCACCACTGTGGTAGAGGGCCACTCTCTAAAGATTCCGATATTTTAGTTGAACACAAAATCTTGATCATTTTCAAGGGATTTTCAAGCATGTGATTAAACTGGAATGTTTGGTCGTTAAATCTTTAATCAAGTATCAATGACCAAGATCTAACGGCCAAAAATCCGGATGCACACGATACATTAGTATAAATTTCTCATTTGTAGTTATCATTGTGGGAAAGGGCAAACAAAAAAAAAAATTATATAAGGGGTTCATGAAACTCACACGTTTAAAAACTCCAGATTAGTTCAACTTCAACATGAACACAATCTGCCAACCCAGAAAATAAAACCCACTAATTAATTGAAATAACCAACACAATTTACTACTAAAAAATCTGAAGGCATGCCAAAAGAGTAGAGCAAACTGTAACATCCACAAGGAAAACCAACACAAATGATTTTCCGCCGTTAGATTCAATACCCAGTTCACAGATTCACATGCACGATGAAAGTAAAGCTAAACCATGCACTTGCAGATTTAACACAACCCAGAAAAGCGGTGAACAAAAAAGCAGAAAAAAATAAATAAAAGGGTGGTGAGGAACGTAGAAGAGAAAGAGAGGTGAGAGTTTTTTTTTTCACCTCTGGAAGCTTGGAAGCGAACCCACTTGTTCAGTCATGGTGGTGGACATTCCTCGCCTCTTCTGATTTGCTCTTTGTGTTTGACTCTGTCTGATTTTATTGTTTTTGCTTCTCTGTCTGTTTTGGATTTGGATTCCATCCGAATCCAACATTGTACGGTAATGAATTTTTTAAATTTATTTATTTAAAATTAAACACAAATAGTATTTAATAAAATTTGACCGCATGGCGTATTATGAACGGTAATGATATGAAGATCCTTAAGATTATCATAAAGAGGATATGGAAAGAATCTTCATCGTCTATTTTGTTTCTACCTAGTACACTTTTTCCTAAATTACAAGTAACCCCTTCAACTTTTGTCATGATTACATTCATTTTCTTGGGTTCACAATTTCAATTCCCCTTTAGAGCAACTCCACCGGAGCTGATAGCTCGATGGACTGGCTATCAAACAATGTCAAAATGCCCGAGCAAGAAGGTCTAGCCCAAGCTGGCGATTGAGCCCAAGGGGGCCCGAGCGAGAGGCCCGTGGGTCGTTGCTGGCCCGAGAGCCCGGAGTGGATATGATGCAAGGCTGACGTCAGGGCGACGTCAGCTCATCCCCAACAACTTTCTGCTTCTTCTTCCTCCTCACTTTCGATTTGTAGATGTCCCAGGCGTCCACTTTACCATCCTCAGCTTTCAAACCCATTTCTCACAAAACCTAAAACAAACAAATCCAGATACCATCAAACACCCAAACCCACCACCTTCCCCACCCTTGCAAAACCACCCAGAACCGCCTCTATCCGCCGTCGACACAACCCATATGAAAAACCCACCAAAATCCCTGAAATTTCCGAACTTTACAAAAATCCAACTGAATTTAGAAGAAAAAAGGAAGACCTAGCTGAGAAAACAATTAGATCACGCGGAAAACAGATCAAATTCAACAAACCCTTGAAGAGAAATCAATCAGCTCGATGAACCCTTTTGCTATTTCATTTGTTAGGATTGTTGCCCTTTTTGATTTTTTTTCTTTTTCTGAAAATTTAGACTAACTGGTTTTTCTTGGTTGACTTAATGGATTAATGTTAAAGCTTCAAACTTTCACACTTCCCATTTGAATTAATGTAAGAATTGGTAAATGATATATTATTTTATTAAAAAAAATACTAATATTTTATTGCCTATTGCCAGGGCTATTCAGTGTAGGAGTGGAGATGCCAAAGACAATTGCTATTCATTATGAGCAATTACTGTTCACTGGGTGAATTCAATAGTGAATAGCCCTAGGAGGCCTACGTTGGAGTTGATCTTATTGCCCTATTTTTCTAGAGCAACTCCATTGCCACAAATTGTCTTATCTATTGAATGACTGAATCTCTCAGTCCCTTCAAAACTGCCCGAGCCCATGCCAATTACCCCACCTATTGGGCGGGCCCAACTCCCATGAACCAAGCAGTGAGGCTAAAATGGCATGAGGTTTTGTTTGAAGTGATCTGACGTCAGCATTGTTTTTATGGATGTCTAAATTATTCTTTCGTGTTCTTTGTCTATTTTGTACCTAGTACATTTTTGTCCTAAATTACAAGTTACCCCTTCAACTTTTGTCATGCTTACATTTTCTTTGGGTTAACTATGTAATTGTCCTTAGAAGAACTTTTTAAACACTGAATGCATGTAAATGCAAATATTGTTGACAGATTTTTTCTTTTTTAATTTTATATTTTTAATGCTGAATATTGAGAAGTTAGACTTAGAATCGACCACATGGCCAACGAGAGCTCTCTCTAAAACTAAAAACAGAGCCAAGATTCAAAAACCCCGAATTTTCCCCAGAAACCTCAGCTCTTCTTAAAACCCCAATCCCAAAAACCCTAATCTGGGTTCCAGACAAGTGAGCGAGTGGCAATGACGAAGGTGTACGGAACAGGGCCGTACGATTTCAAGCGCCACCATGTCGCCGAGTACCCGTTCGAGTACCCGGTCGAGGCCAAGCCCGGTTCGGCGCTTCCTAGCTCGATAACGCTGTTGGATATTCAGCGGGACCGGCTCACGATGATTGCCGCCGATAATTGGTCCAAAACCCTTGACGCCTCGCAGCCCAAGAAGCCCTTCGACCCGGAGCTAGTGAATGAGATTTATCGGACGGAGTTGTCAGTTGGAGAGGGTCAGAGAAGGGCCGTCCCGTCACAGAGGGTGATGATTTTGGAGGTCAGTCAGTACTTGGAGAACTATCTATGGCCAAATTTCGACCCCGAAACCGCAACCTTCGAGCACGTTATGTCCATGATTCTCATTGTCAATGAGAAGGTATTGTGTTTTCGAATTGTAATTTGATGTTTCTGTTCTGGATTAGGGTATCTTTGGTTGCTAAAATACTGGTGGGCTAGATACTAATCCAAGTAGTTATTTTTTGGGGTTAGATAGTGGAACGATTCTTTCAATTTTCTGGTAGTCAGTCCCCAAAAGTTGGTGCTGAACTTTGAAATTATTGGTATGTAGCATTGATGAACTGGTTTAATGGTTCTGCATTTCTTGGTTATATTGCAATTAACAATTATGATTGAACTTGTGTATCCGAACTTTGGAATTGCAGTTTCGAGAGAATGTGGCAGCTTGGACGTGCTTTTATGACCGGAAAGATGTGTTCAAAGGATTCCTTGAGAGGGTTCTTCGGCTTAAATCGGTTTGTGCTCGTTTTATCGGATTGCCATATTTCCTCATGCATGAATAATGGTCAAAATGATTTTATTTTAACTCTAATTTCATTATAAAAAAAAACTCAGTATTACTGATGTGTATTTGGTGCTGTGAAACTTAAATGACAATCATAGTTTGCATTATAGTATTCGTATTTCAATAACAGTTGCAGTGGTTTGTGGGATTCCTTCTTCATGATGACGGAACAATATCAAGGACAAAATATTCTCTAGGGGAAAAACGAAAACAAACTATCATCTACCTACACCAATTATACTACAATACACATTTAAGACATATTAAGAAACAACGTCATGCCAATTTGAAAATATAACAGAATATGAGCTCTCCATTAAACTCTGATGACACTGATTCCCAAAGGGAAGCCCACAAGTGAACCCTCTTGAACAAATAAGCCACCTTCTCACCCAATAGTGCTTTTGGATTTTCGCTTGGGCGACATCTTCTCATAGTAGTGTCCCACTTTCTGTTCTCCTATCTATTTTTCATGTAATTTTGTCCCAAAACTTGTTCCTGGTAAGTATTGAAAAAGTGGAATGAAAAGTTTACAAAATCTCTATTGTTTTTCTAATTCAATACCTTTTCATTATCTGGTCTTTCTCTTCATAAGTTTTTCACGTTCATGCATAGCAATCACACCTTGTTAGACTTTTATATGTTGATGTCCTTTGTTAAGAAGAGTTATGTATGCTTACATGCTGGTGCACGATTCATATGTTCTGTATATTATTGCAAACATGGTTGCCATGCTCATTATTTTAATCAACTGTGGTCTACTTCGTAGTTGTTTCATTTCGTGCTTGCTTTGAGATAGACACAGGAAGCTTACTTAAATATAAACAGTAGCAAATTTGTATGATGTATTATGGACCATCTGGTCAGATGGTCAACGAGGATTCAGAAACTGATAGATGCTAATATTTTGACATATGGTCAACAAAGTTGCTTTTTGCTTGATTTTTATTTTATTCTTTTGTGTTTTTAGGTGGGGAGGGGAGGTTATTAAGGAGATACATTTATTTTCGAATGACTTCTTCAGGTGTTTTATGTTTCAGACTTATATTGATGCTTTTATGTTTGCAGGGAAGAGAGTTAAGCATAGCTGAAAAGACAAATTATTTAGTTTTCATGATTAATGCCTTTCAGGTATGGTAGCATGTTAAATGTTTGAATTTTTGTACACTTTATCTGATATATCCAGTTCTAGAAAGATTTGTGGGCAGGTTGCTCCCTGTAGAGGGGTTTATTAGTTTTTACACCCAAAAGCATCAGGGTAATTGTCCTTTCTCTAGCTTGTTTAGTCTGGACAGACTCTTTCGTAAGTCCAGAAAACATTCATAATTTGCTTTTATCAACTGTAGGTTGTTATTCTTGACTGCTTGTTTTATATCTTCAAAATATTCGTCATAAAAATTTATATGTGCATAATTGAGTTATTATGAAATATTGAATTATTTAAGCTCTGGTTGGCTTCGATGCTAGTGCATTGTATTTTTCTATATAAAGAGATGAGATTTATTTTGTGCACATCATCTACTGCTATAGTATATGATTCTGCCTTGGTAGAAGTTTAGCCCGCACACATAGTTCAGTTGCTTGGCGTAGCATCCATTTTGTATATCAGTCACATGTGTATTGAGCTTAATGGATGAATGTAGTTAAAAACATACAATTAAGTCTTGATGCACTTATTTCTATTGAAGGATATGAATATTGTGGTGAAGTACTCATTTGATTTGGGTATTGTGGCAAAGTACTTATATATTACAATACTGATGTTTTGTGACAGAGTTTGGAAGATGAGATCGTGAGCGATACTGTCCTTAGTTTAGCGAGTTTGCAATCTTGGCACAGTTTGTCGTACGGTCGTTTTCAGGTAACACATATGTTGTCTATTTTGAAAATCTGTTTCTGTTATCATCCGAATATATGTGACCTGTATTTTATTGTGCTTGATTTGCTTCTTTCATTTGCAGATGGAACTTTGTTTTAACCCTGATTTGATCAGGAAATGGAAAAGGATGATAAAGAGGGAGGCCAAAGAGGCTGCAAAACGCGGAGATCCCTTTAATCCCTCAACTACACTCGAAGTTCAGTTCTTGAGAAACCTCATTGAAGAGTTCCTTGAGGTTGTATTTCACACTTTTAAATTCTGAGCAGTACTTTGTGGTCTTTGATTATCAATACCCAGGAATTTATGAAACTTTTATTTTTATTTTTGTGCCTGTTCTAGATACTTGATTCGAAGGTTTTACCCCCCGATCCTAGTATGAATGAAGATGATCAACTTGCTGGTGCTATGCGTGTTGATGATGCTTGTGTTTTGTACTGTGAGAGGTTTATGGAATTTCTTATTGACCTCTTGAGCCAACTACCAACAAGGAGGTACGTTTTGCAAATGTGCTCATTTCCTCTTTCCTCTGTTTGAACAGACGTCAGTTTTAACCTATTGGCATTATATGCTTTTATCATGAGTTAGAGCTGTCAATTCTTCACGCCCTATTAGTTTTACTTATTTATTTATTACATTGTTTCTATCTTGTTGTGATTGCAGGTACTTGAGGCCACTTGTTGCTGATGTTGCTGTAGTTGCCAAATGCCACTTGAGTGCTCTGTATAGACACGAGAAGGGGAAACTCTTTGCACAGTTGGTCGACTTACTGCAGTTTTATGAAGGATTTGAGATTAATGATCATGTTGGGACACAACTGACGGATGATGAGGTGCTTCAATCTCATTATGAATGCGTCCAATCTTTCCAGCTACTTGCATTTAAAAAGGTTCCTAAGGTATGCATTTAAAAAGGTTCATATTATGTGTTTTCCTCTATAGATTGGTGCTAGCGTTCTGAATATTTTTCTCCCCTTTGTGCTTGTAGTTGCAAGAGCTTGCATTGGCTAACATTGGTTCGATTGATAAGCGCAATGATCTGTCAAAGAAATTGTCCTTCTTCCTCCTGGGGAATTGAAGAATTTGGTTTGTTCAAAGGTATGCATGACATTTATAGCCACGTTAGTTAAGATTGTGCAGTTTGAAATTTTTTCCCTAAATTGGTATTTATTCTGCTAGTGAGTATGGGGCTTGAATATCTTCTTTGTAGTGTTTTGTGCGGAAACAGTTAGTGAAAAGTTAATGACTAGGTAAAAGAAAATCATGGGTGCTACATTCCTGGCCTGACCTTAGGGCCACATCAAGCCACAGCCTAGCCCTAGAGGCCACGGTCAAGCTCTAGTGTGGGCATATTGGTCATTTTCTCTTTCCATTTTTTCTTAATGTTTTGCAAGTGATTATAAATCTCCCCTTCGGTCGTCTGGCAAAGTAAAAGAGGCTTGTACCAGGAGGGGGAAATCTTGGCCTTCATATACTTGATCTGGAAAAATGCATTGAAGAAAATCAAAAAACTTTTACCCAAAAAGAAGCTTAAAAAGAGAGATTACGGAGAGGTAGAAGGTGAAGGTGAAAGCGATATGCTGGATGATGACTCAAGGGAGAGGGAGAGAGAGACAGAAACAAGGATAGGAAGAGGCAGGGTAAATGGTTAACTGCTATAGTTTTGGTGAGATGAGTAGCAAGGGTAGCATGAAATATTTTGTTTTATTTTAAAGCCGTTATACATAGTAAGTGTTTAGTTGTGGTTAGTCAGCTTTTGGACATTGGACTATTAATTCTAGGTTGAATTTGACGTTATAGGAAGTTTTGTAGGCCTTAGCCCTGTGGGCTTCTAGAAAGTCCAACTCTTTCTCTGGGTTTATTTTTATTTTTAGTGTCTACTTTTAAGCTATGAAGCATCGATTCTTCAGATCGGTTCCGATTCACACTCTGGGAGTGAGATCGGCGGGATTCGGCTTGGGTACGGCAGGAGTGGCTTGGTGCTGCTACGAATCGGAAAGAAAAAAGGGCCGCTCTCTTTGCAGTAAAAAGCCCAAAGGTGTTCTCTTTTGCCGTAAAAAGCCCAACAGTGTTCTCTTTTGCTGGAAAAAGCACAAGGCTTTCACTTGCTGCAGTTATGGCTGCGTTTGCAGTGATTATGGCGTGAAAGGAACTGATGAAGAAGATGATAGAAACTGTTGTGGGCCATCACCACACCAAAAGAGCAAAACTGCTCGTTTCATTTAAAGTCCACCTTTCTTCTCTTTTAACATGTGGTAGGCAGTGTATCACATCTCTTTCATCAGGCAGTAGGCACTAAACTTCAAATAAAGAGTCAGATATATAATGCCAAAACTAAAAACATAGGCCACTAAAATGAAACCTACCTGAAATTAAGAAATTTAAATAATCATTTAAAATAAGCCCATCTACCAATGCTATATTTATACTTTTGAATATTTATTTATATGTAATATATTTTAAATATTTTTAATTGGCGAATCCCTGCCGCTCCTAAATCGGGATTCTTTGAGTTTTCATGCTCCCGAATTCCCCCGCTCCTGAATCCCTGCTCCAGCTTGCGTATCCATGCTTCATAGCTGTTAAATGGAGGGAAAAAATGGTGACTGAAAGTAGTTCAGTTAAAAATAGGGAGAGAGATTGCTCGTATAGACTTTTACTCTACATTAAAGGCTTAGTCAAGCTGACTTGATATCATGAATTTAGCATTAGGATTATAATTGTAATTGTTTTCTTTTTGATAGGATAATTATGTTTGATTTTTTGAGCTTTAATTTGTTGGGAGTTAGAAATGAAGTAAATGATTTCATTTTAATTTTGTTGTGTATTTGAGTGAAGATTGTCTGCCCGTGCCTTTTCTGTTTCAGGAATCAGGACAAACATGTTGCAATCTTTATTTCATTTGTCTCTGAGTTAGCTAATTACTTGCTTTTGGAATGTCAGCTTTCCAATGTATTTTTCTCCATTCTCTCACTATCTTCTCTTTTCGGTTGTACACTATGGATATTGTAAATTTTGTTTAGCTAATATTTTTTTCTGTTTTGCAGCTGAAGCTGGTTTCAGGGGATGACCCTTGGTCCAATAGGGTTGATTTCCTTATTGAAGTCATGGTTTCATTTTTTGAAAAGCAACAGTCTCAAAAGGAAAAAATAAATGCCCTTCCTCTGTACCCAAATGAACTTATTATGTGGGACGAAAGCCTTGTGCCAAGTATCAATTACTCTGGAGAAGGTTGTCTGGCCCTTCCAAAACTGAACTTGCAATTTTTAACATTAATAAAGAAGGATATTCAGGAAGTTGTTCCACATCTTCATGCGTACATTAATAAAGAAGGAGAAACAGCTTTTCGTGGTTGGTCAAGGATGGCAGTGCCGATCAAAGAGTTTAAGATCAGTGAGGTAAAACAGCCAAATATTGGAGAAGTCAAGCCAGCTGCTGTTACAGCAGAAGTTACTTTTAGCATTTCTAGTTATAGAGGACAAATGAGATCAGAATGGAATGCTCTTAAAGAGCATGATGTCCTGTTTTTAGTTTCTATTCGCCCATCCTTTGAGCCTCTAAGTACAGAAGAGGATGGCAAGGCGAGTGTGCCACAGAGGCTTGGTCTTCAATATGTACGAGGTTGTGAAATCATCGAGATTCGTGATGAAGAGGGAACTCTAATGAACGATTATACTGGAAGAATTAAACGTGATGAGTGGAAGCCTCCAAAAGGAGAACTGAGAACTGTGACTGTTGCTTTAGATACAGCACAATACCACATGGATGTCAGCAACATTGCCGCAAAAGGCGCAGAAGATGTTTATGGGACATTCAATATACTGATGAGGAGAAAGCCTAAGGAAAATAACTTTAAAGCAATTTTGGAATCCATTAGAGATCTTATGAATGAATATTGTATTGTTCCTGACTGGTTGCACAACATTTTTCTGGGGTATGGTAATCCTTCTGCTGCACAATGGACTAATATGCCGGATCTTTTGGAAACTGTAGATTTTAAAGATACTTTCCTGGATGCAGACCATTTGAAAGAATGTTTTCCAGATGATCAGGTTTGCCTGTATAATGTCTTTATTACTGATGTCTGGAAATTTTTGTTTGTCTGTTTGTTAGCATCTTGGAGGGTGATCTGACTAATGACTTTCTTGTTTACATGTTCATTGTTTAGGTTTGTTTTACTAGTCCAGATGGCACAGAAAACTTGGATCCAAGGCCCCCTTTTCGAATAAAGCTTCCCAAGATGATCAGAAGCAGCACCAATGCTCTTCCAGGGAATAAGAAATCTAGTATTGTTTCTATGAGTGATGTCCCCATGGAGAATTCCGATAGTGAGAAAGAAAAAATTGCTGTTGAAGCATACACACCTCCTGACCCAGGTCCGTATCCCCAAGATCAACCAAGGAAGAACACCGTTAAATTTACACCCACTCAGGTAGTTATTCCTTCATTTGCCTGTTTGTGAGATGTGACTTTTTTGCTTATGTATTGTGAGGCTAAATTTTTATAATCATGTACTGTCTGTTTTCTTTTATTGCAATATACCAACTTATAAAATTGACTTAAGACCCTTGGATGAATTAAAAACCAATAAGAAACTACGTTATTAAGGTATAGGTGATTAAGCTTTTCTACAGTTTTTTTTGATTCTCTATAAATCATGTAATAGTACCATATTAGTAATACAAAATAGGAATTTGTAGGTTGTTCTACTTTTAGATATTTTTAACATCTTTTAGTTACTTGTGAAGTTATGATGGATAGTTAAAGTAACAAACTTTGAATTAGGAATCATTGTTTGTGCCATTTAGACTCTGTTTTAATAATTTCTAATCTTCCTTCTTGTGTAGGTTGGAGCAATCATCTCAGGTATTCAGCCAGGACTAACAATGGTCGTGGGTCCACCTGGTACTGGAAAAACTGATACAGCTGTCCAAATTCTGAACGTTCTCTATCATAATTGTTCGTCTCAGAGAACATTGATAATTACTCATTCGAACCAGGCTCTAAATGACCTTTTTGAGAAGATTATGCAGGTTCAGTTCTCTATCAGTTAGGGTGTTAAATCCTGTGTATAGCTATTTTCTATGTTGTCATAAATTTTTAATATTTCCCTTTTTGCGATTTTAGAGGGATGTTCCTGCACGCTATCTTCTTCGACTTGGGCAAGGAGAGCAAGAGCTAGCAACTGATCTGGACTTCAGCCGACAAGGCCGTGTCAATGCCATGCTTGTGCGGCGCTTAGAGTTGCTAAGTGAAGTGGAGAGGCTGGCTAGATCACTCCAGTTGCCTGAGGATGTAGGTTATACATGTGAAACTGCTTGGTACTTTTGGTTGCTTCATGTATATTCGCATTGGGAGCAATTCCTCGCTGCTTGTAAGGAGAATAAAGATAAAACATCATTTGTTAAAGATTGTTTTCCCTTCAAGGAGTTCTTCTCCAACGCACCGAAACCAGTCTTTACTGGTGAGTCATTTGAGAAAGATATGCGGGCAGCTAAGGGTTGCTTCCGTCATCTGAAGACCATGTTTCAAGAGCTTGAAGAGTGTAGGGCATTTGAGTTACTGAAGTCTACTGCTGATCGTGCAAATTACCTGATGACCAAGCAGGCAAAGATAGTTGCCATGACATGCACTCATGCAGCTCTAAAGAGAAAGGACTTCCTTGAGTTAGGTTTCAAGTATGACAACTTGCTCATGGAAGAAAGTGCTCAAATTTTGGAGATTGAAACTTTCATACCAATGTTGGTCCAAAGGCAGGAAGATGGTTATGCTCGGCTAAAACGCTGCATCCTGATTGGTGATCATCACCAGTTGCCTCCTGTTGTTAAGAATATAGCATTCCAAAAATACAGCCACATGGATCAGAGTCTCTTTACGAGGTTTGTCCGTTTGGGCATTCCTTATATTGAACTCAATGCCCAGGGTAGAGCCAGGCCAAGTATAGCCAAACTGTACAACTGGAGGTACAGAGATCTGGGTGACCTTCCATATGTAAAGGAGGGTGCCATATTCCATAGAGCAAATTCTGGATTCTCCTATGAATATCAGTTGGTGGATGTGCCAGATTACCATGGCAGAGGTGAGTCTACACCTTCACCTTATTTCTTCCAAAATGTGGGGGAAGCAGAATATGTGGTCAGTGTCTATATCTATATGCGTCTACTTGGGTACCCTGCAAGCAAAATCTCCATATTGACCACTTACAATGGCCAGAAGCTTTTAATCCGCGATGTTATCAACAGACGATGTGCTCCTTATGACTTCATAGGCCCTCCCAGCAAGGTAAGAATAAGATCACCACTTTCACTTTACAATTTGCAGATGTCACTGACCTTTAAAATGGGTTAGAATGCGAATGCATCAAATTAAACATCAGGCACAGTAATGAAATACAAACGTAATAGATGTTAAACAAATAAGAATCGAACTGTCCATTTGTGAAATCTAAAGGCCTGTCAGCAAGTTGGTGGCTCTGTAGGCTAGTTTAGTTCTTGTTAATCCCTCAGAACAAATGGCCAGGAACCTGGAAGGTGCCTTTATACGGTATTGTTAAGGCATTTTGGCCTCTCTGACAGTTCTTCGTCAGAGATAAGTTTCATTCATCCTTACCCATTAGCTCTGCTAACTTTGCAATTTTACGCTTTGTGATTGCTTTAGTAAACTACTGTTTCTGTTGACCTTTGTGATCCCATTGGTAAAATAATGTTTTAACTGTGCACTGTTATCAGGTTACAACAGTTGATAAATTTCAAGGCCAGCAAAATGATTTTATACTGCTATCTCTTGTGCGTACTCGCATTGTGGGTCACCTTCGTGATGTTAGAAGATTGATTGTTGCAATGTCTCGTGCCCGACTGGGTCTTTATGTGTTTTGCCGTCGTTCTTTGTTTGAACAATGCTACGAACTTCAGCCTACATTTCAACGTCTACTTCAGAGACCTGACCACCTTGCTCTTAATTTGAATGAAATTACATCAAACACTAAGCGTCACGTTGATGAAACTGGTCCTATTCATCTTGTCAGCAGTGTTGATGAGATGATTGGTATCTACCAGCAGCTTTATGAGGTATGCTTTCCTGTCGTGCATTCAGTTTTCCTTTTTGTCATATTTTGATATGAGGAGTTAGATGGTGAGCGTGTAAATATTAAAAATATCTTGATCAGTGGAGTGCCCTTTGGACCTGCATAAGTATATCATCCATAATTATGAATTTCCGATCCCATGCAATTAAAATCAAGTTTCTACAGTACAAACCTCAATTTGACTGAGTTGGTCTCCTAATAGGAGAATACTAGTGAGATCTAAAGGTTTTTAAGCCTTCACTTTCGTGTGTAATCATTATTTTGGGGGGTCATCTTCCTGTATCTGATGCCCTTAAATTACTTACCCTCCACAATTTAAAATATATTTATTTAAACGTTTCTAAGCCTTCAATTTTGGTATGTAGTCATTATAATTTTAAATTTCAACAAATTGACTGCCATAACCATGCTATTTCTGATTTGTGTAACCATGATATTTCTGATCTGTGTTCAGCAGATTTAACCCAAAATGGAATTTTGTTACTTTTTGTCAGGTAAAGTTCCATCAGTACATGCCTTATTCAGGTCGAGTCGATGAAATCCTTCCGATGGATACAGATGGGCACCATCCCATGAATACCGATATAGCTGTAACTTCTGATGGGGCACCAGCAGATAATGGCCAGCATGGAAGCAATATGGAAGAAGACACTAAAGGTGATGTCGTTGCCAATGGGCAGAACAAAGAATTTTTTTTTTTGAGAAGAAACAATTTTATTAAAGAATAGTGAAAAACATAGAAGTGGATAAGAAGTCCACCAACAAATTAGAAAGGAAAATCCCAATAGGATTTGGCTACAGTAGCCAATTCTAGACTTAGCTCACTTAACTGCTGCTAACAAATCCCACAGTATTTGAGATAGAGAGCAATTATTAAACTCTTTAGTAACCGAAGCCCAAAAAGATGCCCAATATTTTACTCTCCCCCAAAGTACTTTTGCCCCCACTCCAGTATAGTCTTCAAAAATCCTTCTGTTGCGTTCCAGCCATATATTCCAAAAAATTGCCGATACCAGGCAACCCCACAAAGCTTTGGATTTTTTCCATTTTCCAAGTGCCTTAAAATTGGTGCTTAGTAGCTCAAAACACCTTTTAGGAATGACCCAACTTACTTTAACCTCCTGAAATAGTTTCCACCATAGTTGGATCGAGTAGGAGCAATGAAGAAAGATGTGATTTACACTCTCCTCCTTAGCTTTACATAAACTACACCAATGTGGGGATAAACACATCAGAGGGTTTCTCCTTTGAATTTTGTCGCAAGTGTTGAGGCTCCCAGTGGCCACAAGCCATACAAGTATTTTAACCTTCGGAGGAGCTTTTGATTTCCAAATCTGAGAGTAGGGTGGATAATAGTGCACAATCCCATTGTTGCTCAGTAATGAACGATAGGATTTGCATGTGAACAAACCTGAAGCTTCTAGGTTCCACCTTCTGTTATCCATTTTTGATGGAGACAAGCGAACCACTTCCACTTTCTGTAATAAGCTGGCTGCCTCTTCTATCTCCATCTCATTCAAATTTCTCCTAAAATCAAAGTTCCAACTCAAGGAACTTGACGAAGCTTCCACAAAGCTAGAAATGTTATGATTATGCTTCCTCGATAATAAGAATAATCTGGGGAATTGCTCCTTCAACGGTCCTCCTGCTAACCACCCATCCTCCCAAAACCTCACCCTCTCTCCATTGCCCACCTCAAACTTGCAGCATCCAAGAAACTGATGAGCACCACTCGAAATGTCTTTCCATGGGCTACGACTTGAAACCCTCCTTGGAGGAAGTGCATTCCATCCATTCACTTGTAGCCCATACTTGCTTCTTATCACCTTGTGCCATAGGGAATGAGACTCCCTTGGGAATCTCCACAACCACTTAGCCAATAGTGCTTCGTTCTGATTCCTCAAATTCCCCACCCCTAGACCTCCTTCCTCCTTGTTTTTAGTAACTAACTCCCATTTGACCAAATGGGATTTCTTACCTTCCTCCACGCCTTCCCAGAGAAACCCTTTCATTAATTTTTCTAGACGTCTTCTTACCCCGCCAGGAATTTTGAACAATGACATATAGTAAATCGGCAAGCTTCCCAAGACTGATTGAATTAGAGTTAATCTACCTCCTCTGGATAGGAAATGCTAGCTATTCGAAAACCATTCAAATGGGGAGACAGATGTTAATGCTAGCTCGAATGACATAAATGTGCCACCTGAAAGCAATTCTGATGAAACAGAAACGGAAGAGTAGTGCTCAACAGTGGTTCGATTTGGATTTTCTTTGTGTAATTTTCAAATCTGCGATTCGTTGTATGTTTTCTGTACAGTGCGAAATGTACGCAGAAACCATTTGGAACTTTACATGTTTTTGGCTGACCCTTTTTGAAGTAGGTGAAATCCTTCTGTAGCACCGTCACACCTGTAACCTCGATGAACTTACAATCTATTAGCATGCAAATGAATGAAGATGTAATGTTCCGAGATGAACGTCGTTAGTTGCTTGATTAACGGTTTGCGTTTTAGTCGCTTGATTAACGGTTTGCGTTTTCCGGTGGCTGATTTCAGTCATGCCGGTGCCATATGTTCGTTATGGTTAAAAAATTCTGTGATGCAATAATTTGGACCACAAACCAAACGCAGGAAACATAAGCCGAAGCACAAACGAAAATATACAAAACACCATACGTTCGACATGGTTCGCTCCGGACTGGGATATGTCAACCCAGTTCTACCAAATGGAAGTACGTAGCTGTTCTTATAAGCGGACACTCGTTGTATATGTTAAGTTGCGTGAGTGAAAGGGGCAGACGCTTTGGAATGGATGCTAGCTTTGGACGGCGGACGAGTGGTATTTCTCGAATCATCGGATGTGCACGTCTTATATCGTTTTTCGTAATGTTGAAATGTTTCTGGATGCAATATATCTTCAAAATTCAAAACAATTACTTACTAGAAAAATCATATGAATCTGAAAGAAGTAAGAAATATCGACCTGCTGATAATGAAGCTAGCGGTGATATGTAGTCCAGGAAAGAGGAGGCATTTGACAATCTGACTGTGATTTGACTCATATATGTGATGATGAGCCTGATGATGACGATGCATCACCACCTTGATCATTTGCCCTCTCGAAATGGTGAAGGCCAACAGACTCACGCGTCCAGTTGAATGTGGGTTGAGAAAGTAGATGAATGAGCATGAGACAAAGGAAGACATGCAAAGGATCTGCACCGCACAAGGTTGGCAGTGAGTACCAATCGGGTTTCCCGTGCCATTTCGGTTTCCAAGATGACTGCACCGCACAAGGTGGGCCGTGGGCGGGGCAGAGCGTTATATCAGGCTATGGCCATCGGCGGTCGACCGTCGTGGCGTGGGAGGAGAAGCTGGTGGCTCTGAGAGAGTAGTATTCTGTCGTCTGGAGGTGGCGGGGGGTTTTGAAATTTTGTTTGTTTGTTTGTTTGTTGATGGATAATCACTTACAGCACCAGTTAAACGGCATAAAAAGTTATTAACCACCCAATTTCTTACCTCTGCATTTCTCCCTCACCAAAACGCAAATGTGTTAAGCAAATGAGTATTGATATTTCATATGAATTACTGTAACAAACAAAAATACATTGAACGTTTGCAACAAGACTCCAAGAAACCGTAAACATTAAGAAACAAGATGAAGCAATGTAATTCCAATCTGACTTCATATATAATAATACATAAATGTGTTAAGCTGAGTCCGGCATAACTTAAAAATCAACGGAAAAAGAAGATAGAAAAGAAGTAGATGATTTCAATTACGATCGGTGAACACTTTGAATATCGAACATTTCGAGCAAACTTGGATGCATGAAGTAGCTGGACTGCAATGTTTGTGCAGACGAAACCTTATTAGTTTGAACCGCTCCTCTAATCGCCCAGTTTTGAGCTTCTCTGCACTCTTGCGTTGCGTCCCACAACCAAAGCTTTCAGTCTTTCTTCTAGCTTCCTACAGCAGCTCCTGGCTAGCGTGAGGTCAACTTTTAGCCACAATGTCAAGACTTCCTTTTCTTTGTAAATGTTCTTTGAAGTTTGTCGAAGGTGGGTTTCTGAAAAAATGTTACTTGTGTGAGAAAAAACATGTACACGGGCGACCTGTAATTGAATAAGTAATGCAAAACGAAATAATCATCTGGCACATCAATATTCAAACGGAATCAGTTTGAATTTGTTAAAGAATATATGTCAGATTAATTATAGTAAATATTGTAAATCTGTAATTAGTTATTTGCTTACCTGTTATGGTTTGATTTCCTTGATTGTAGGCATTAGTTTAGGATCAGGAATGTATCTGTTTCCTATATATCTTGTAACCCTAGCTTTCGGTATAAACAAGAAAAACCATTATGCTATATTACGTTTCTTAGATGGTACCAGAGTGATCGATCTGGGAAAACCACGACATAAATTTAAACCCTAGCAACCATAGCCATGGGTGACAAACCAGAAAAGTCAACCCCTTCAGGCATGACTTTGCATCAGAAGTGGGAAAACCCTAATAATCCACTTTACCTTCATCACTCGGATCAGCCTGGCACCATCCTTGTGCCGTAGCCACTTGTGGAAGACAACTATGGCACATGGGCGCAATCCATGACCATGGCCTTGATGGTCAAAAACAAGTTAGGGTTGGTTGATGGAACAATCACGAAGCCAACTGATGCACAGGTTGAAGAATTACAGCAATGGAACCGGTGCAATAATCTGGTAAAAACATGGCTGCTCGGTTCTATGTGAAAAGAAATCTCAGGAAGTGTCATACACTGCAAGGATGCACGGTAGATGTGGCTTGACCTGCAAGAAAGGTTTTCTCATGTGAACATCGTTCAACTGTTTCACATAGAAAACAAAATTCATAATTGTGTGCAAAGCAACATGACGGTGAGTTCTTATTTCACCAAACTCAAAAGCCTTTGGGATGAACGTGATGCCTTATGTTCAATCCTACATGCCATTGTGAAGCAAGGAATGAGATAACATCATATGTTGAGACTCAGAAAACAATGAAGTTCCTTATGGGTTTAAGTGACTCATATGCTACGGTTCGTAGCAACACCCTCTTGCTGGATCCATTGCCAACTATTAACAAAGCTTATGCGCTTGTTCTTCATCATGAGAAACAAGTCGAAGTGTCAAATGGAAAGAGCAGCACCATGTAACCTGAAGCTGCCGTGTTTACAGTGAAAGGTGCTGGTCGAGAACTCGAGACAGAAGATGGTGGTCAACGATGCACCAAATGCAACAAGACCAACCATAGCACCAAGAATTGTCGTGCTCATCTTCAGTGCACATTTTGTGGTTGGAAGGGACACACTTTCGACTTTTGCTGCAAACGAAAAGTAGAGGCTGAAACTGACCAAAGTTGGCCTTCCAAGGGCAACCAAGTCACGGCAAGTGACAAGAATGACACAATGCCCAACTTCCCTTTTTCTCCGGAGGACTGCAAGCAAATTCTTCAACTTTTGAACAAGAGCAAATCCTCCTTTGCTAATCAAGTGGGTAATTCTTCGAAACATGAAGAACTTTCAGGTAAAGCATTTTCTTTTGTGCATAATGGAAAGAAAATCATTTGGATTTTGGACAGTGGCGCCACGGACCACATCGTATGCAGTCCTGAGTTTCTCACGTCCTCAAAACGTGTTGAAAATCATAGTGTTGAATTACCAAATGGTTCCCTTGCTACCGTAACCCATGTCGGCAAAGTGGTTTTCTCTCCCAACCTTATCCTTGACAATGTTTTATGTGTACCATTGTTTAGGTTAAATTTAATATCTATTAGCAAGTTAGCCTATGATTCCCTCTACATCGCCATTTTTCTCAAACAATTTTGTGTCATACAGGACCTATGTTCGGGGAAGATGATTGGGACGGGAATTGAACGGGAGGGACTCTACTATCTCGAACCACCAAAGAAGAGATCCTGCAACACCATAACCACCATGAGCTCTCCTTTTTGGCACCACCACCTTGGGCACCCATCACCTAAAGTGTCCTCGTTACTTCCCTTTGTGCACAATAAATCGTGTGATTCAAATAAATGTTTAATTTGCCCATTGGCTAAACAAACCAGATTGTCTTTTCCCTTGAGTTCTATATCTACTCGTTCATGTTTTGAATTAATACATATTGACATTTGGGGTGGTTATCAAGTTCCTTCCCTCTTAGGTGCAAAATATTTTCTCACCATTGTTGATGATTACACAAGGTGCACCTGGGTTTATTCGATGAAACACAAATCTGACACACAAGACCTTTTTGTTCAATTTATTCACATGATTGAGAATCAATTCAACACAACAGTTAAGGTGATTCGAAGTGATAATGGTCTCGAGTTCACACTTGCCACATTTTACAAACTCAAAGGGATCCTTTACCAAACCAGTTGTGTCAACACACCACAACAAAATGGTGTTCTTGAACGCAAACACAGACACCTGTTAAATGTTGCTCGAGCCCTTCTTTTCCAAGCCAATCTTCTTAAACATTTTTGGGGGGATGCCATTCTCACTTCGGCCTATCTTATCAATCGTACACCCACACCTCTTCTTCAAGGGCAAACACCATATCACAAATTGTTTCACAAGGCACCAAATTACATGCATTTACGTGTTTTTGGATGCTTATGTTTTGCATTAACCCATGCACAAAAACCCTCTAAATTTGATCCTAGTGCACGACGATGTCTTTTCCTTGGGTACCCTTATGGTCAAAAGGGTTACCGCTTGTTTGATCTCACACTTAAAAAGATTTTTGTGTCACGAGATGTCACCTTTTTCGAAGACCACTTTCCCTATCAATTATCCCATACTTCCGCTGCTCCCACTACCAGTCCTACTCCACTTCCCATAGAATCCTATTTGCCATCGTTTGATCCGTCCCCTACTCTCCTTCATTCACCTACCATAGAACCCTATCTTGAAGTAGGCTCTGCCCTTGTCACCATTCCACCTCCTTTACCCGTTGAGACCCCTTCACCTTCCTTACCTTCTCCATCACCATCACCATCACCATCACCTCCGCCTTCCCCTCCTGCCCAATCTCCTACTGCACCACTGCCACCCCGTCGTGGCACACGCCCTACCAAACCCTCATCTTTCTTGCAGGATTTCCACGTCGAGACCTCTTTCCTGTCCCGACCTGCTTCTTCCTCGAATTTGGTTCAGTCCTCAAGTACTTCTCACCCTCTGTCTCATTACCTATCTTACCATTGCCTTTCTCCCATGCATAAACATTTTGTCACTAACGTCACCACCATCTGAGAGCCCACCACTTTTCTGCAGGCTGTCAAACATCCACAATGGCGTGCTGCCATGCAACACGAAATTGCTGCTCTTCAGGCTAACAATACTTGGTCTCTCGTTCCACTTCCCCATAAAAAAAAGCCGATTGGCTGCAAATGGGTGTACAAGGTCAAGCTTAAACCTAATGGGACCATCGAGCGTTACAAAGCCCGATTGGTTTCCAAGGGCTATAGCCAAATCGAAAGGGGTTG